ATAAGCTTATCAAAAATGAAAATTGTTTATCTATTTTGAGAGTATGCGAAAGGAATAGGGGGAATACGGTAATGTAGTATTGCATGTAATGTAGTTGGAGGAGGAAGAAGAAAAAAGAAATTGGAGAAGACACAAAAACAAAGATGAACGAAAACATGCAAAGAATGAAAGTAATCATGTGTTTTTGCGTTAAAGTTGGAGCAATTAGGTCGTTAACTGTATGAATGGTTGTTGTTTAACCTAGGGATAGGCACCTTAGAGCAGCTGCGCGAGGCGTGAAATTAATTCTCAACAGCTTCGGAGAACCGCGCAGAAAATTTAGGAAGCACTGACAATATTTTACCAGGAATTAGGGCCATGGATGCTGAGAATAAACACTGTGAATATTCTGTGTTAGTGATGCTGCTGTTTATCAGAAAAAAAAAAATCAAATGTCAAATGAGCTGCTGAACGACCTTTTCCAGAGCTGCTTTCAGATCCTTAATTTCCGATTCCATTTCGATTATTTTCATAGCACTTTGTGTGCGAGCTTCGGTGGCACGTTGCAGTTTCGCTTCAAATATACCATTTTGTTGGGTGACTTCGGTGAGAAGGACGGATAGGTGATCTCGAGATGCAGTCAGTTGTCGCCTTTCTTCCATCACCTTACAAAGCTGAAATCCTGTGGGATTTGGACAAAATGCACCAAGATAGTTACAGTTCCCAGTGCTTACTTAGGTTTTGATTTTGGACACAAAAAATCACCGCCTGTAAAAAGAATTTTTAAATTGTAGCATTCTAATTTCTATTTCTGGACGATAGTTCCTCTTTTTTTTTTAATTTTTCTTCAAAATTAATAATGGCGCAATCTAAAGGTTCTTTAAACGGCGAAGGAAATTTCCAATTAATTGTACTTTTGCAGTTGCTTTCTAAAGTAGGATACATTATTCCTGAATACGGTAAATTTTAAACAACCTTCGCAAAAACATAAAAAATTGATACATAAAATGTTTGGGCAGGGATGGGACAGTGACTTATCTCGCGCTGAAGGTTAACTCCGCCAATGAGATAATCAATTTCTTAACGATCCGTTCGTCTATAGCCAATACCATGAAGTAAAATCTGCCGCCGGCTTGCTTCTTAAGAAA